GTCCTTATTCTGAGTTATCAACTTGGAGTTAGGGGTTCCTATTGTGATTTATCAACTTCGTGTCAGAGGTCCCCATCATAAATTATTAATGTTATGTTGGAGATCCCTATTCTTACATATCAATGCTATGTTGGAGGTACCTATTGTAACTTATAAACTTGGTGTTGGAGGTTCTTCTTCTGACTTATCGACTTGGTGTTGGAGGGACTTATTTTGACTTAGCAACTTGGTATTGCTGGGGTGGGGTGTCCTTTATCGATAAGTGCCAAATTTCATTTTTGAATGATAAATTTCATAATCTTACTATTTCATCTGAAACTGATCTTGGTATTAACTATAAGTAATATATCTGTCTGAAAGAGAACATATTTAAATATTGGAATATTACTAGTAAACAAAATACCAATCCAATGGTTGTCTTTGAAACAGATATTTATAAAAGGGAGAAACATGTAAATTCTCATTAATCTTATTTTTTTAAAGAAATTTACATAAATAGATATCAGACAAATTTGAGACTACTCTAAATTTTCTTACCGAGAAATTTCCTCAAATAAGCCTGTTCTCTCTTTTGGGCTCTTCATTGCAATGGACTCAACAGCTCCTTGAAACACAAGAAAGTTTTTGGCCTTTACATTTATTCCCAATAGCTCTAATCTGGAAGCATAATCTTGATGGCTTACAACCTGTAAAAGAAAAATGTTTTATAAGAGAGACATAACATACGGATAACAGTCCATTTGGTCCTTTGGGCCGTTCTTACACACTCATCATTGAGAAAATCAAAAAATTTAAACCCACCCTTATTTGTCAAGGAATTGTTGCCTACCACCTTAAATTCCTATAAATACTTGACTCTACTGTCACAAACTGCAACTCCTTCTATAATATAATCACTTTGTTAAAAAATAAACTTTTTCCTGGAGCCTAACCTGTCTTTTCCATATCTTAAGCTCGTGTTGTATTACTTTCAGAATACACAAAGAAAGCAGAGGATGTTATCTTCTCAATCCTCCAAATACTTCAGTAAGATCACCTCTTGTTCATCTTTTCTCAAGAGAAAATAAGTTAAAAGATTTTAACCTTTAACCTATTTTCTGTCATATGACCCTATGTCAGTAAGACACTATCATTTCCGAGATAAACTGCCCAGAAATGTACAAATTTTTCCTATTGAGGACTAGTGAACTGTAATAACCAGGTCTATAAACACACCAAAATTCTACTAGCTTTACTAACAGCAACAGAGCACTGTCTTGATGGCTTTGAGACATCATTTTCTTCAGTCATACCGAGTTGGTTCCCATCCATATTAAACATCTGATCTAAATTATGATAATGAAAATGCATTACTTCACATTTAATATAAAGGTCACTGATCAAATATTTGGTCTACCTACAAACTGATCCAGGTTATTCAGTAGTAGCTCAACATCCACAATACAGCTAGATATATCTAAAAGTTTAATGTCATCAGCAAATTTTACTAATTATGCCCATATTGATATCATTAATATAAACAAGAAAAGGCAGATTCCCAAACAGTGACCGCTGAGGCATTCCACCAGTAACAAGGGTTCAGTTTGACTGGACTCCATTAATAACTTTCTCCCCATCCAACCACCCTAAAGTTCAATTAACTAGTCTTTCTTCATCCCATACTGATCTGATTTCCTTAGCTAATCTTTCGAGTGACATCTTATCATGAGGTTTCCAAAAACCTATATGCCCCAAGTCCACACCCTTTCCATTACCCACATAATAAGTAACATCCTTGAAAAGATGAATAAGGCACGAGAACATCAGTAGCAGACACATAAGGTTGAACTTAAGGCCTTGATAGGGTAGTTTTCTTACCACTAATTCTTAACTATAGTATACTACTAGGGTCTTCACCATTACCCTGATAACTGGTTATGGTTCAGTTAGAGGCCTTGATAGAGTAGTTTTCCTACCACTAATTGTTATCTATAGTATACTACTAGGGTCTTCGCCACTACCCTGATAACTGGTTATGGTTCAGTTAGAGGCCTTGATAGGGTAGTTTTCTTACCACTAATTGTTATCTACAGTATACTACCAGGGTCTTCACCACTACCCTGATAACTGGTTATGGTTCAGTTAGAGGCCTTGATAGGGTAGTTTTCTTATCACTACTAGGGTCTTCACCATTACCCTGATAACTGGTTATGGTTCAGTTAGAAGCCTTGATATGGTAGTTTTCTTATCACTAATTGTTGTCTACAGTATACTACTAGGGTCTTCACCATTACCCTGATAACTGGTTATGGTTCAGTTAGAGGCCTTGATAAGGTAGTTTTCTTATCACTAATTGTTATCTATAGTATACTACTAGGGTCTTCACCATTACCCTGATAACTGGTTATGGTTCAGTTAGAGGCCTTGATAGGGTAGTTTCCTTATCACTAATTGTTATCTATAGTATACTACTAGGGTCTTCACCATTACCCTGATAACTGGTTATGGTTCAGTTAGAGGCCTTGATAGAGTAGTTTTCTTACCACTAATTGTTGTCTACAGTATACTACTAGGGTCTTCACCATTACCCTGATAACTGGTTATGGTTCAGTTAGAGGCCTTGATAGGGTAGTTTTCTTACCACTAG